TGACTGTATACACTTATTTCTTGACTATAAGGGGAGGGCAAGAGTTTCTCAGTTCTTCCACATTAATGGGGAAAACCTGAAAAACAGTTTCCTGAGTTGTCATGAAATATGTGTTTTATTACATAACCGACGTAGTTTCTTAAAGTAATGATATAGACATATGGACAATAGTTTGCATTTTTATTTCTTGTGTTATGCATGCCCTCATAAATATTGATGTATACATTACATGAATTTTTTGGTAAAAAAAAAATAAGATGATTTAAAGGTCTGAATATAATACATAATTCAGAATTATACATAGAGCTGTAAAATATGGGACATTAATTATGACGTCACAATGGATAAGTTCAGCCATGCAAAAGTTCATTCTGTGACCGGGTAAACAGTTTTGAATGTTGATGTATTACATGAATTTTTTGGTAAAATAACAATTTATATAGATGTGTTAATAGTACAATATAATTTCAAATTCAGAATTATACTTTACTGTAAAATTGTCATTAATTATGACTGTCACAATGGATTAGTTCAGCCATGCAAAACTTCATTCTGTGACCGGGTAAACAGTTTTGAATGTTGCATGCTAGTATTACAATTAAAATGAAAGTTTTAATAGAAATATATTCAAAATTCTTAATAATTAAATTTGTCTGTTGTCTGTCTGTCATCCTCAGAAAGAGTAGAACAATCTTATATAGCAGAGCCATGAATGATTATATTTATATGGAAGCATCCTAAGGAGTCTAGATTGAGGTTTGTTCAAATCATGACCCCGGGGGTAGTGCGGGGCTTCAATGGCGGATCAAAGTTTTGCATATAAATTTATAGGATAATTCTGTAAAAATCTTCCCCTCAAGAATAGCAAAGACATGAATAATTAGAAAATTAAAGGAGGTTACCTGGAAGGTGAACTTTAGTGTAGATTCAGGTTTGTTCTAATCATGACCCCGGGGGGTCTGTCAGAGTCACAATGGTTGATCATAATTTTACATCGAAATATATAGGGAAATTCTTTAAAAATCTTCTCAAGAAGAGCAAAGGCATGAATGGTCTTTTTAGCTCACCTGAACCGAAGGCTCAAGTGAGCTTTTCACAATGACCGTCCGTCCGTCTGTAAACTTTTCACATTTTCGACTTCTTCTCAAAATATATTGAAAAGCATTCTTTAAATTGAAAATGTACTCTCTTCACAAAAATAGAATTCTTCTCAGCCACTGGGCCAGGAAAGCTGAAACTTATCATCCTTGAATAGTGTACATATAAAATTTTAAAAATCATGACCCCCGGGGGTAAAGTTTTACATAGAAATATATAGAACAGCACTTTAAAAATCTTCCTATCACGAACCACTGGGCCAGGAAAGCTGAAAGTTATATAGAAGCATCCTTGGGTAGTGTAGATGGTAAAAGTATAAATTCATGACCCACAGGGGTAGGGCGGGGCCACAATAGGGAATCCAAATTTTACATAAAAATATATAGATCAAATCTTTAAAAATCCTCTTCTCAAGAACCATTGGGCCAGGAAAGCTGAAACTTATGTGGAATCATCCTTGAATAGTGTACATATTAAATTGTTAAAATCATGACCCCCGGGGGTAGGGCGGGGCCACAATAGGGAATCCAAGTTTTACAAAGAAATATATAGAAACAAATCTTTAAAAATCTTCTTCTCAAGAACCACTGGGCAAGGAGAGCTGACACTTATACGGAATCATCCTTGAATAGTGTAGATATTAAATTGTTAAAATTATGACGCCCGTGGGAAGGGCGGGGCCACAATAGGGAATCCAAGTTTTACATAGAAATATATAGAACAAATCTTTAAAAATCTTCTTCTCAAGAACCACTGGACCAGGAAAGCTGAAACTTATATGGAAGCATCCTTGGGTAGTGTAGATATTAAATTGTTAAAATCATGACCCTCGGGGGCAGGGCATGGCTGCAATAGGGAATCCAAGTTTTACAAAGAAATATATAGAACAAATCTTTAAAAATCTTCTTCTCAAGAACCACTGGGCCAGGAAAAAGTTATATGGAAGCATCCTTGGGTAGTGTAGATATTAAATTCTTAAAATCATAAAAGGGAAGGGGGTAGTTGGGCATGATAGGTTTAGCATGAGGGGAAATCTAGTAAGAACTGCATCACCCAAGTTACTCAGGTGAGCGTTTGGCCCATGGGCCTCTTGTTATGATTTTGATGGTTTATACGGTTTCATCCAAGAAACAAGTTTCCACGTCCTACAGTGGGATTTAAACCTGCGACATAAGGATTTGAACTCCTTACTTTGTGACTTTAGAGCAGACACTCTAACCACTGTGCAATGTGAGCGACTGCCACAATGGTAAAAAGAAACTTTTAGGAAAAAAATTTACAAAATTTTTAAAACTATTTGTCAAAATAATATGGAAAAATCTTTAGTAAGTAAAGATTTTAGTGTATTTGAATCATCCTGGTTCCTTTGGGTAATATGCCGCAAAGGAAAACCTGGTTTGCTGTCACATTGACAAGTTTTTCATCGCTTGAAACAAATTTTCTACTGGTTAAAGTAATGGAGCGTTATTTTGTTTATATGGTATTTTAACAAACAACTTGAAAAATGCATTAGGATTGGGCAAACACTACCTATTCATAAAAAAAATTTGATGTAAGAGGGGAAACTCCATTTAAAACCCCATATGAACCCCTATTTAGCTCACCTGAGCTGAAAGCTCAAGTGAACTTTTCTGATCACAATTTGTCTTTCATCTGTCTGTCTAGCTGCCTGTAAACTTTTCACATTTAGGACTTCTGCTCAAGATCGGCTAGGCCAATTTTGCTACAAAGCATCCCATGGTGAAGGGGATTCATGTTTGTCAAACGAAGTACCACGCCCTCATTCAAGGGGATATAATTTGGAACTAATGAAAATTTGGTGTTATGATTTAAAAATCTTCATCTCAAGAACCACTGTGCAAGGAAAGATGAAACTTATGGGGAAACATTCTTAGGTAGTGTAGACTCAAGTATGTTGAAATCATGACCCAAGGTGGTAGGGAGGGGCCACAATGGCTGGCCAAAGTTTTACATAGAAATGTATAGGAAAATTCTTTAAAAATCTTCTCAAGAATAACAAAGCCATAATTGATCATATTTATATGGAAGCATCCTCGGGTAGTGTAGATTCAAGTTTGTTCAAATCATGACCCCTGGGGGTAGGGTGGGCCAAAATGGCCAATCAAATGTTTATATAGAAATATATAGGAACATTCTTTAAAAATCTTTTTCTCGAGAATAGTAAAGCCATAATTGATCATATTTATATGGAAGCATCCTTGGATAGTGTATATTCAAGTTTATTCAAATCATTACCCCAGGGGGTAGGACAGAGCCACAATGGCCAATTAAATTTTTACATAGACATATATAGGAAAATTCTTTAAATTTAAACTTTTCAATAATAAACCAATTTCTACATTGTACTAGCCACAATGCTCATGTTAGTGATGTGGCCCATGGGTCTCTTGTTCAGATATCTGTCAAAAACTGGGGTGGCTCCCCTTATGAAATGTTTTAATACAAATGTCGGAACAAAAATAATTTGCATGGAAATAAACAAAATTATTATTTAATAGTTCTACATATTTTTTAAAGTGAAATTTTGGGAATTTGTTTCTAAAATTGCAATATTAACATGATGAAATGTTTATCTGATTTTGTAAGCAGAGCAAATCTCAGATATGAATGGAGTTTACAGATTAAGCTTAATGTTGTAAACAAATAATTATGGTACTTGAGTAGAATTTAATTAAAGATTCTATATTTAGATGCCAAAGAGAAAGAAATCTCTTACTGGTAGAGTGGGACGTGAAAGAGAAAGAGTTAAAAAGAGGCAGGCTAGAGAGAAACTTGCAACACGAGATGCGTCCCCAGACGAGAAAGTGCCAGAGTCTTCTGTTCCTTGCGGGACGGAGGATGGAGCTATGTCAGCTCTTCCCGGTAATTTTCCGGGGCTTGGTTCCATGGGGTTACCACCTAAAGAGGAAAAACCCCTGGCCAGGATGCAGGCCTCACCTCGAGTGAAAATGCATTCACCCGCCCCGAGGTTGCCACCTCCTCGGGGAAGTCGTCTGTTTGTCCGTAACGAGGGCAAGGCACCGTCCCCTGACTCCCCACCGTGGGTTTGTGCTCCACCGAGGGCACCTGGATCGGACATAGGGCATATGTCTGGTCCAGCAGGTCAGGCGCAGCTGGATACCTCCAGGGAGGAGGAGACCAGTAGGAAGCTAAAAAAAGATGAGGGCACTTTAACGAATACTAAAAAGGAAACTGAACGAATATTAAAAGGAAATTTGAACGAATACAATATAGAATCTGAAATGAAAACAAATGGAAATGAGAATGAAAACAATGAGAAACATAGTAAATCAGAGAGTGACTGTAAAGAGAAGAATGTAAGACATGAAGATCAGTATTGGCACAAAGCATCAAAGGAAGGTAAACATGAAATATCCTTTTCAGTTCAAGGCTCATTTCATCAAGCTCATCCTATGTTTGAAGAGAATGCTGGGACACAGTGTGTTGCAAATTGTTTAGCTGGATTGGCATATGACAAACTTAAGAATGCAAAGAGTTGGACAACAATGGATATGGACAGAATTTTGATGACAGGTGATGAATTGTACACATATTTGCAAAGAAGCTCATTAATCAGTGAAAGGTATTTGCTTGTAGAGGAATTACCACAATTGTTTGAATGTTTTAATCGATCATACCAATTTCATGCAGACGAGTCATTTGCAAGTGTTATTTTGGCAGATAATGGAGTAAACTATGCTGAGTTTAATGCATTACCACTTGATGATGCACTCCAAGTTGCTCTTACAGACAATGATGGCTGTTTTGTGTGCTTTGGTGGAAATACTATGCTTATAGGATCAACAGAAAGTGGCTTTTTTGCTTTTGACTCCCATTCTAGATCTGCTGATGGAATGTTAAATGTGTCGGGAAAGAGCACACGAGTTTTATTTCAGAATGTGAATGAAGTGTATTCACATCTTCAAAATCTTGCTCTTTCAATGGGCTATTCAAAGAATGTTGAATGTAATGTGTGTGGTGTAACATGCAGAATGGATTTTATTGTAAATGAATGTGGGTTGTTTGTGGAGGAAGAAGATATTGGTAAAATATCCCAAACACCAGAGTTATCAGTGGAAACTACTGTTGAAAAGTGTAATGCAAATGATGACTTGATTTTCATTAGTCATGAGCAGGTACAATTTAGTTTTTGCCCACTGTCTGTGAAATTGAAAAAACACCTTAGTCATATTTTGAAAATTCCTTATATTTGCACAGAAAATTCTGATAACATCCAATGTTCAAGAACTAATATCAGAGAACCGAGAAGTGAAAAGAACATTCTAGGAGATGGAAACTGCTTCTTTAGAGCTGTTTCATTCAGTTTAACGAACTCTGAAGACTTCCACAGTGCAATGCGCAATGCAGTCTGTGAGCATATGATGAGAAACAGAGAGTTATTTAAGCCATTCTTGAAAGATGGTGTTGATACTGTCGAAAATCACCTTTCTTCCACTCAAATGTTGCAAGAGGGTACATGGGCTACTGAGGTTGAAATATTTGCAACAGCGCATTTACTGAACACTGACATTTACACATTCTCAGATGGATGTTGGTGAAGGTTTTTAGTTGCTGAAGTGGAATCAAGTACACAAAGCAGAGCTGGAGCAATTTACTTGAATCATCACCAGCAGAACCATTACAATGTTGTACTATCTGTGCATGGAGAGAATTCAGATTTGACACCAAAGCAACAGGATAAAATTCCACAGGAATATGAAAAGCGACACCGAAATCGAACACGTATGCAGGAGAAGAGGCAAATTACAACAGAAATACAAGAAAAATTAAATCCCGCAGAGAGACGGAGAGAGTCTTTAAGGAAAAAATATTTCCAAGATGTAGAATACAGAGGGAAGACAATGAAAGCATCATTAGAAAGATATGCAACAGATGATGTTTATAAGGAAAATGTCAAGAGGAGAAGTATTGAAAAGTATTCAAAGAATGACGATCACCGGGAAGATGTCAAAAGGAGAAGTATTGAAAAGTATTCAGTTGATGATGATCATAGGGAAGATGTCAAAAGGAGAAGTGTGAACAAGTATGCAATAGATGATGATCATAGAGAAAATGTCAAGAAGAGAAGTATTAATAAATATACAACAGATGAACAACATAGAGATGATGTCAAAATGAGAAGCATTCAAAAATATAAGTTGAATGATGAACACAGGGAAGATGTCAAAGCTAAAAGCAAACTGAAGTACAAAACAGATGAAGATCATAGATGCCTAGTTAATAATGCATCTACAAAGAAATACAAGGAAAATGAAAATTTCCGTGAAGCAAAGCTCAGCACTGCCGCTAAAAAATACAAAAGTGATGAATCTTTCAGGTCAAAAATCAAGACAGCTAGTAAAAAACAATATGACTCAAATGCAACATATAAAGAACAGAAAAAGGAGAGGGTAACAAGTCAGAGAGTTGCTCAAAGGGCTAGACTGGAAGATCAGGAAGAGGTAGTGAGAGTTTTTAAAGAAAAGGCTATGCAGGGCATTGATTATTCATGTTGTTGCTGTGATCGACTCTTGTTTCAAAATCAAGTACAAAGATGTGAACGGGAAACATATGCAAAGAACGAGCAGGCAGTAAGAATTGCTGACTTGTGTATTCAGGAAAAGTACCGCCACCAGTGCACGGAATCATGTTCACAAAACTGCATTAAGTCAAAGCTATGGATTTGCTATACCTGTCACAGGAAAATCTTAAGTGGAAATTTTCCAGCAGAAGCAGCAGCTAACAAAATGGCCCTTGAAGATATTCCAAAAGAATTGAAAGAATTAAACAGCCTTGAAAAACACTTAATTGCTATGCATATTCCTTTCATGAAAGTCATGGCTCTTCCTCAGGGTGGTCAGAAGAATATTCATGGGCCAGTTGTATGTGTACCGTCAGATCTAAAAAAGGTTACAAGTTTACCAATGAAACCCGGAGAAGATCTTCTACTTAGAGTGAAACTGAAGAGAAGATTGAGTTATAAAGGTTACAGTGAGTACCAGTTTGTTGACCCAAAGCACATATTTGAGGCATTAAAATATTTGAAAGTGAACAATCAGTGGTACGAAGATGTAGCTATAGACACAAACTGGAAAGGACACCTAGAATGTAGCGAAGAAATATCTGAACAAGATGATGATATCACAGAAAGTGGTGATCAGCAGCACATTGTGGCAGACACTTGTTTACAACCCGTAGATATTGCTCAGGAAGTTCTTGATCATTACTTTGATGATATCTATGATATTGCCCCAGGTGAAGGAAATAATCCTGTAAGAATGTTGCAGGAGGAGGGTAATGAGGCTAAAACATTTCCATACCTTTTTCCTAGTGGACGTTTCTCATGGAATGCTGATAGAGAAACACGAATAACGCTGTCAAGATACTTTAACAACCGTCTTATGAATACTGACGACAGATTTGCAAAAGACAGCAATTACATTTTCTTCAGTCAGTTTATGTCTGATTTAAACCAAGTTATAGAGAAGACACAGATATCAATCAGGAAATCAGTCAGAAGAATGGGCAGTGAACAATTAGTGACAGCAAATATGGTACAGAACCCTGAAACACTTTCAAAGTTGATGAAAAATGACGAGGCTTTACGATTCATGCAACCTATACGTGGAACTCCAGCATATTGGTCAGCTGCACAAAAGGATTTGTTTGCTATGCTTCGACAGCTAGGGATACCAACTTGGTTTTGCTCATTCTCTGCTGCAGAACATAGGTGGAATGATGCTATTGCAACAATATTGAGACAGCAGAATGACAGTAGAGACCCTTATATTTTGGACTGGTCTGAAAAGAACGAAGTTTTAAGAAGCAATCCTGTCACAGTTGCTAGAATGTTTGAACATAGATTTCATGTTTTTCAGACAGAAGTGATTTTTTCACCATCCGAACCAATTGGAAAAGTATCAGATTTTTTCCAAAGAGTCGAATTTCAGCAAAGAGGGTCTCCTCACATGCATTGCTTATATTGGATAGAAAATGCGCCTAAACTTGAGGAAGATGGAGAGGATGCCGTATGTAGTTTCATAAACAAATACGTAAGTTGTGCAGTACCCTCAGAGGAAGAAGATTTAGAGCTAAGGGAAATAGTTTTAGCTGTACAACAACACAGCAAAAAACATTCCAAGTCATGCAGAAAGAAGGGCACAGATTGTAGGTTTAATTTTCCTAGACCACCCTCTGTATGTACGTTCATTAATTCCCAACTTGAGGAAGAGAACATGGACAATTCTGAAGATGCAACTGGTTTGAAACAAGAACGCTCAATTTCTAAAGAAATTTTATTGCAAGTTTGGAATGAAGTGCAAGATGAATCGAACGAATTGAAGACTACAGGAGAGATTTTCCAACAGCTGGGTTTGACACAGGCACAGTATGAGGAAGCTCATAAAAGACTAACAAAGAAGAGATCAGTTGTTCTTCAAAGAAACCCAAGTGATATTTGGACTAATCAGTACAATCCGTGCCTTTTGAAATGCTGGGATGCTAATATGGATATTCAGTTTGTTTTGGATCCATTTAGTTGCATTGTCTACATAATTTCGTACATTTCAAAATCTGAGAGGGAAATGGGAATGGTTTTGAAACAAACAAAAATAGAGGCAGAAGAAGGGAATGAAAACGCACGCACAATCTTGAAGAGAATTGGGTCTACCTATTTAAATCATAGAGAAGTGAGCGCGCAGGAAGCTGTTTATCGGGTATGTAACCTTAAAATGAAGGAATGCTCAAGGAAAGTAGTGTTTGTACCCGTGGGTGAAAATCCTACTCGACTGACAAAACCATTATCCCAACTTAAAAGAAATCAGAGGAAGGAGAACGATGAAAATGTTAACGATGACGAAGATGATGAAGATATTTGGATGACAAATGTAGTAGAGAGGTACGGAAGTCGACCAAATAAGCCATTGTTTCAGAACATGTGTTTGGCAGAATTTTGCTCTGAATTCAGAATACTTGCAAAATCACAGGTTCCAAAGACTCCAAATGAAAATGTATTTGAACTGCAGAATTCGAAGGGCTTCATCCAGAGAAGAACACGTGCAAAGCCAGCTGTTATAAGATATCCAAGATTTGATGTTGACAAAATGTCAGAGAAACATTACCAATGTCTGCTACAATTGTTCTTGCCTTACTGGACAGATATTCAACTGAAACCTCCAGGATTTGATCTTTATGAAACATTTTATAACAATGGAAATGTACGAATCAGTGGAAAGCAGAAGTTGCAATCTGTCAAATCAATTGTAGATACAAACCGCATGCACTATGCTCAGAATGAACACATCATTGCAGAAGCACAAGAAACTTTTGAAAACCTTGGAGAGCCAGAAGATGCTTGGGCAAACCTTTGTCCAGAGACAGAATTATCGAGACAGGAATGTGCAGCCCTGAGAAATGAAACTTTAGAAATAAATCCTTCAGAAGACCTACCAGACATGCAAACAGACATAAATTCTGATGTTCTTTACAAGGTCCAACAGAATACCAAGTCAACAGAGGAGATGTTACAGATCCTTCAAAATTTAAATGAGACGCAAATGAGGGTGTTTTACTTAGTGCGGGAATGGTGTTTGAGAAGGAACTTCGGAGAAAATCCTGAAGCATTACACATTTTCATAACTGGAGGCGCAGGGACAGGCAAGAGTCATCTAATTAAAGCCATACATTATGAGGCCTCACGGATTCTACGAAAAACGTTGACATCTCCTGACAGTATATCAGTACTACTCTCCGCATTTACTGGAACAGCTGCGTTTAACATTGGAGGAAGCACTCTGCACCATTTATTTTCACTCCCGAAATATATGCCTTTGCCATATGAGCCATTGAGAGAGCAAAGTCTAAGCGAAATGAGAGTTCAACTCGGAGATCTGCAAATTCTTGTCATTGATGAAATTTCAATGGTGTATAAAAGATTATTATACTATGTTCATGAAAGACTTGTACAGATTAAGAAATGCAAGGAGCCATTTGGGGGAGTCTCAGTGATTGCAGTTGGAGATTTCTACCAGCTTCCTCCTGTTAAACAGCGCAAAGATGAAAGACTGTACAAAGACAATGCTCTTTATCCTGTTGATTATTGGGTTGACTTCTTCAAGGTAGTGGAGTTAAGTGAAATTATGAGGCAACGTGAGGATATCCCATTTGCAACAGCACTGAATTCACTTCGGACTAGAGTAGTAAAACAAGCACTGGAAGATGAAACGGCTTCGATTTTGAGCGACTGTATAAGAGAAGGACCAGAGGATGTTCTCCATGTCTATGCAACAAATGAGGAGGTGAATGCGTATAACTTGTCAATGCTCAGAAGAACCTGTGAGGACCTGGTTGAGATTGATGCTCAAGACTTTACAAAAGACCGAACAACAGGCAAACTAATATTGAGAGGAAAACCAATCACAAGGGGGCGGTCGGATAATCTTTCTAGCAGCCTGTTATTGGGGGTCAGTGCCAGAGTTATGCTAACAAGAAACTGCAATGTGGATGACGGCCTAGTAAATGGCGTTATGGGACATGTATCTCAGTTTCTGTATAGTTAGAAGTATGGCTCAAATATTGTTGTTGCAGTAGAAGTGATATTTGATAATGTCAGTGTTGGGAAGAAGTCTGGGAAAAGAACAAAAAATGGAAACGTTGTTTTGATCGAGAGAGTACAAGAAGAAATACTAGAACAGAAAACAAAAAATGTTGTACGACATCAATTTCCTTTACGATTGTCGTGGGCATGTACATCTCACAAAGTACAGGGAATGACAGTTGGCAAAGTTGTAGTTAATTTAGATCGGACATTTTCGCCGGGACAAGGCTACGTTGCTTTAAGCAGAGTTACTTCAAAAGAAGGATTATTTATTGAAACAAACGATGCTGAATCGTTACACAAGAAGATATACGCTGACCCGGAAGTCAAAGCAGCTGTGCAAGAAATGCCGAAATTAACACTACCTAATTTTGATGTGTTGGAACAAGGCATTGTAATTTTTCTTCACAACATACAAAGTCTCAGTAAACATTTCGTAGATTTGCAAAAGGATATTCGGAATAGGAAAGCAGATATAATTTGCCTTACAGAGACTTGGTTGAGACCTGGACAGAATGTCAGTTTATTTGATTTGAATGGTTTCATCTTTCATCAAGTAGCTAGAGGAGATGCATATGATGACAGCAATGCTCAGGTTCCGCAATTACGTTCATCGAAGGGTGGAGGTGTTGCCGTTTACACTAAAGAGACCGGACGAGAAAAACATGTTCATTTCCTTCCTTTCAAAAATGTTGAGGGCATCTGTGTGAAATGTGTGTCAGAAGATATAGTTGTTCTAACTGTATATCGCCCAAACTCTTTAGACGTAAGTCAATTCTTAGTACAACTTGAGAAGGTGATAGCATATTACAGATTACAGAATAAGTTCTTTGTTTGCCTTGGAGACTTCAATGAAGATGCAAGAATTGTTGGAAGTATTCAGACTTTCATGAGTAATCAAGGTTTCAAACAATTGGTTGATTTCAATACAACAGAGGGGGCAACTGTCCTTGACCATGTGTATGTGTCGACATATTTAAAGGCAAGCGTTGAAAAGATACCAACGTACTACAGTTACCACGATGCAGTTATGGTATCCATCATAACAAATGCATAAAGAACAAGTCAATCGTCGGTAGCAATGTTGTATCTGAAAAGTAGATTAGTTTCAAATTGCCAGACATTATTTATACTTTTGTTATGGTAAATATTTGAAATGACTGCTACATAGACATTGTCAAAGAGGAACAACAAAAAGTACCCGATGTATAAAACTTTTAGCAAATAGGACATAAATGAAGAAAAAATATATGGGTATACATACTTGGTATTATTGTACATAGTTATGCATTTTGAGGATCTGCCTGTACATAAAATAATTATTGTGAGAGATTTTGCTTAACAAACAGAATAGCAAGATGATTATGAAGATTAATGAAAAAATTTAACTATCATACTGTACGAAATACAGTATCAAATGATTTTTAAAAAAAATATTTTTATTAGTTGTACATTTCCTTAACTCATATGTAAGATATAAGTAGAAAGCTTATGCCACAGCGTAATCATCTATTTATTACTTTTCAAAGCCCTCAGCTGTGTGTTTTTAGGATATAATCAAATTAATCTATTTTTTGTATAGAAATCATTTGTATGGAAAATATAGAGAAGTATATCAAAAAATATAAACATGAATTATTGAATAACTGATATCGCTTTTTATATACCCTGTAACAGCTTTAAAATGATCCTGGAGAAGAAAATTAAATAATAACTATAAATCAAACTGAATAAAAATATTTAAAAAAATTTTAAGAGGGATATTCTTTTGAATACAGAATAAATTATGTTAAACATTCATGGGGGAATATGCAAATTGTCAGGAGGATTTTGCTTCAGTAATTTATAACAACATAGTGATACTTAAATAGTTGGAAATAAAAGACTCTTGGCCCCTCTGAGCCCGTAATTTGAAGAGTTGGTCCCTTTTTCATGAAATTAAATGAAAAGTTTCGTAGTTTTTAAGACTTTTTGATCACCATCTTATCAGAAATTTTCTGTCGTATATCGAGTTGAAATATTTAGGAGCTAGCCTTTCAAGTCTTTTAATGGAAGCATTTTACAAATATTGAAAGGATGTTTCTTTTGTATACAGCTTTATTCTGACTGTATTTCGTTCAATACTGCTCATCAACATCTTTTCTTTTTGAAACAAAATTTTTAACCATTCAAGAGTTATAAGTGAGAGACTTTTGGCGCTTTTATTCTATTTTTCTTGATATCAAATTGAGGGTCTTGTGATTTTAAAGACATTTTGTTCAACATGTATTAAAAAACTTCGTTATTAAGGATCCACCTCTCCATGTCCTGGGTAGCACCGATTTACAGAAATTAAAAGGATGCATTTTGTTTTGATCATCTTTTGTTCAGTATTACTGTCTTATGAACATATTTCCCGTTTTCTAAATATAATGCGTCAAAGATTTAGCATTCTGACCCCTCGTGACCTAAAAGTACGTACAATATGATAAACATTTTATAATATGTAGGTTGAAATTGATTTGATGAACACTTTTGCTTCAGTGATTTATGACAAAATATTGATCGTTAAAGAGATATAGGTAAAAGTTTGTGTGCCCCTCTGAATACTTAATTTGATAGGTCAGCCCCTTTTTCGTTATATCAAATGAATATGTTGGGATTTTAAAAACAGTTTATCCAACATTTATTCAGGAATTTCTTTTTCGATGTGGAAATATGAGGAATAGGAATATTTAGGGTACACCCCTTTAAGTCTAAATGGGGCCGTTTCACAGAAATTGAATGGATGCACATTATTCTGACTCTCTTCTGTTCAATATTGTAATATTAAAAAGTCCCCCCTTAGTTCTAGTTATAAAGTGTCAAAAAGTAAGCATTCTGGTCCTTTGTGACGATAAATCACGTAGCATATAATCAAGATTAGTTGGAAATTGTGTTGAAAGACCCTTTTGCTTCAGTTGCTAGTATTTATATGAAATATTGATTGTTAAAGAGATATAGTTGAAAGACTTTTGCCCTTGCCTTGCCGTTGTCCCCAATTTGAGGGGGAGTTCCTTTGTCTTGATATTAAATGAAATATCGTGGTTTTAAAATTTTTGCTCAATACGTAATCATGCAGATATTTCTTTTCGTTGAATGGAATATTTAGGGTCCACCCTTCCATGACCTTCAAGGGCCGATTTACCAAAAAAAAACCTGAAAGAATGCATATTGTTAAAAACAATTTTGTCTATCTTTTGTTCAATTTTGCTTATTAAAATATTCCCAATTTCAGAAAGAAGTAAAAGAGTTTGCATTCTGGCCCCTTAACACTCGTACTTAAGTAACATGTGATCAAATTTTTACGATGTATAAATGTAAATTGTTCTAATGGATATTGTTGTTTTAATCATAACAGAATATCGCTTGTTAAAAAAGTATATTAAATTAAAAACTTTTGACACTTCTAAACCCCTAATTTCAGGAGTCAGATCCTATTACTAGTACTTGATATCAAATAGATTGTCTCGTGATTTTAAAAACTTTTTGTTCAACTCCTATTTAGAGATTTCCGTTTATTGTGGAGATATATTGTATGGAAATATTTAGGGGACACCCCTCAATTGGGCCTGTTTCGAAACATTAAAGGGTCCATATTGTTTAGAACATTATTCTGACATACCTTTTGTTTTATATTGCTTATTAGAATATAACCCCTTTTATTGATATAATGTGGCAACAATTAAACATTCTAGCTCTTTGTGACCCCAAGATGAGTATCTTTGCTTTGGTGGCGTAAATCTTGATCGTTAAAAAGTTAAACATGAAAGACTTTTGGCTCCTCTGAGTCCCTTATTTTAGGAGTCAATTAATCCTTTTTTCTTGATATCAAATGAAAGGTCTTGTGATTTTGAAGACTTTTTGTTCAACAACTATTCAGAGATAACCTTCCGTTATGGAGATGTGCTGAATGGAAATATTTAGGGGCCATCCCTACAAGTCCTTGATAGGGCCAATTTACGTATTAAAAAAAGTATGCATATTGTTTAGAACATTAATCTACCAATTTTTTATTCAATATAGCTTGTTAAAATATTACCCCATTTCGTGATATAAAGCGTCAATTATTTAGCATTCTGGCCCCTTCTAACCCCTACCGGTAATTACGTTAGAGATGTTAAAAATGTTACAATATAATATTACACATTGTTAAGATAAATATCTTTCCTTCTATAATGTATCACAAAATATTGACCATAAAGATGTTAAAGACAAAAGACTTTTGGCCACTTTAAGCCCCTAATCCAAGGACTCAGCCCCTTTTTCTTGATATCAAAAAGGACTTGTGATTTCAAAGACTTTGGGTTCAACAACTATTCAGAGATTTCTTTTCCTTGTGGAGATATCCTGAATATAGATATTAAGGGACCAACATCTATTCAGAGATTTCTTTTCCTTATGGAGATATTCTTCATATAAATATTACCTACAAGTCCTTAATGGGGCCATTTTTCAAGAATTCAAAGTATGAATATTGTTTAGAACATTAATCTGACCATCTTCTGATCAATATTGCTGATCAAAATATTCCCCCTTTTTGAGATAATTGTGAAATCGTTGACATTCTGGCCACTTGTGACAACTAATCACGTAACATATGATCACAATTTTGTCATATATTGATGCAAATCGTAAAGATGAATACTTTTGCCCCAGTAGTATATAACAAAATTTTGACAATTAAAGAGTTATAGATCAAAGAATGTTTGCCCCTCTGAGCCCCTTATTTATGGAGTCAGTCCCATTTTCTTGATATCAAATGAAAGGTCTTGTGATTTTGAACATTTTTTTGTTCAACACTTATTCAGAGATTTCTTTTCGTTGTGGAGATATTCTAAATGAAAATATTTAGGGGCCACACCTACAAATCCCTAATGGGGCCAATTTACAAATATTCATAGTATGCATATTGTTTAGAACATTACTCTGACCATCTTTTGT